TTTTAAAAAAGAGGCCAAAAACAATTTATGCCTGCAAAAGTCCTTTTGGGAGTAGTAGTCAAAACAAGGCGAGCTCATCAAGCAAAAAACACAATTTCTTGTAACAGCCTCTGCTGATGAATTAAACACCATATTCACAGAAATTAGCACACAGACAGTGAGTAAAAAGAAGCATCTTTCATGGCACACACCTTACTTACTCACCTTAACACTTGCATAGGCACTGTGGAGCAACACTCACAGGATATGAAATCACTTGATTCAACTCAACTCAAGTGTAATGCATGCACTCGACTAGGTCTGTGCATGAAATACACCTGAGAACACCTGAGTACAGAGTATCATTGGACACAGTTAACACTTGACACCCGACTTAACACCTTAATACTAACACTTAACACTAGGTACACCTGCTAGTGTCAGAACACGTCAGTCATGAGTTTACCCCAGCATCAGTTTGTATGGTGAGAGCTCCTCACTCTTGAAGTGGAGCTTGCCCCTCCTGTCCAGGTCCTGTCCTGTCCAGGTGACTGGAGCCGAGATATGGCACAAGTTTGTAGCGCAAAATGTATGCAGTGTATTTTGGTAGGGTTACTTTGAACAACAAGTCCTTTGAACAACAAGTCAGGCATGCATGTCACCGGGGCTACATTGAACACGTTCAAAGTCACCCCAGCGAAGTTCCAAAAATGTCATGCTTTTACAAATCCCTTCACAGCATTGGCCATGCTCAAGCAAGCTAAAAAATTATGATGGGGCAATATAGGCCAACCATCGAGGATGGCAAAAATATGTCATTCCGTTCCATGACCATAATGACTAGTCCATGCCATATGGAAGTTTACAGGTATATCTCAAAAAGCTAAAAACATTGATTTAGTTTTTGATTTTTTACACCTATGTACTAAGGTACATATCTTCCAATATGTCATGTACATTTTCAAAAATGTGCATTCTTATCTGTAAAAAAACATGGCTGCATTTATAATTCACATTTTAAAGATATTTGTGATTCCCTCTAAGAAGTGAACGGCGTTCAAAGTCACCCGGAAGTTCAAAGCCACCCCAGTTTACGGTAACGTCTTTTTCTGGTATTATACACCTTTATCTACTTTGGGTGGCTGTTAGTCATCGACACCGGAGAGATTGCATGTCCGTGTTCTCTTCTCTTCTGCGTCTAAGTCATAGTCATCTTTTGCGAGTGTTACCTGTAAAAAATCCTTACGAATATACTAAATTGCTTCTAGACGAGAACAGAGGGCGCGCTGGTGCGACCAAGATTAGTTTTCTTATAGGTGCGACGTCTCCCAGCTGAAACCAGACCCGGGTCACGGCATCCTTTCTCAGGCGGCCCAAAGCGTGACTCCCTGCCCGCTGTGCCCCGTCGCACCTGGCCAGTATATGGATTTTTGTGAGACCTCGCCCACGACAAGGAAATTTAAAGAGCTGTTCATTTGGACAACTGTTCCGTCAGTAAACCGAACTTCATGCTCCAGGGACCCGTTATTTTTCGCCCTGTTGCTAGCTTACCGTTATGTGGCATTGTTCACATGGCCTTTTCAGCCAAATAGAACATGCTGCAATGAAATTACGAAATATTATACCTACTAGCGATTCTTACTCGGCCAGACATGTCATCTTTCTCCTCTCTCTTTCCACTTGTCACCCGGCTGACCCCGATATGTCTCCCTGTTGTTTGGGGCGCGGCGGCGAGTCATTCGGTCACGCTGGGATGCTATCGGACCACCATGGAGCCGCAGGACCGTGGAAGGACCGGGAGACGGCCGCGGGGCGCGACCAACGGCCCGACGGTGCCGGTGCACGGCGCGGAACGATCCGCTCGGACGCCCGAGGGTGCGGCGAGGCGGTGCTGGGGCGGCGGAGGGTATGGGTCGGCGGAGGGTGCTCGGTCGGTGGAGGGTGGTACGGATTTGCACGGGGTGGTACTAAAATATTGAAGGGCGCGGCGAGACGGCAGTTCGCCAGCGAGTTGTGGTGTTCGTGGGCAGACATGAAATATTTATAACAAATTTTAAGGATATGATAAGATGATTTTCTTTACGAAGTAGTTATCCATGGGGCGTTATAGATGGACGCTTTTCTGCATTGTTCACTACTGGCCAGTGGCTAGTCGTTTCGAGCTGCAACAGGCCAGTGGTAACACGACAGAACGGTGTCCTTCATTCGCGGGTACCTAATCAGTTCGAACACTTCGCCTTCCCGTTTCGCCATCCAACAAACAAGGACCTGAAACTGAACCCCGAGCTGCGGTGGGCCTCCTGTGTGCGGCTGCGGCAATCCCCTCCCTCCTCCACTGCGTCATGTTCCGTATATCTGCTTCCCGTGGCAGTGACTCACCGTCGCGCGGTAGCTGACTGGACATCCGCGCTGACTCGACAGAGCGCCCCCGGGGCTGCCTGCTGCCCGGGGCAGTCTGGCGCTCCGGTCACCCTGCCCGGGGCTGCCCGCCGCCCCAGTGGGTCCTAACCGGGACCGGCCGTCTCAAGACGCTGCCCCGGGCCTCGGCGGCGGGTTTACAAGCCTGGGGCGAAGTTTGATCGATCTGAGCAGTTTGCAGAGAAGCAGACCATTCGTCGACCATGTCACCAGTGTAACAAACTGAATACAAATGTCCCGGAATAGCGGAGCTGAAATTGCCGTCGTCTGGGGTTTGGTTCAGCTTTGTTTGTGGGTTGTGATAGATTTCGTGGTTAGAATCTCGGTTTATGGTAATCACAGCACGCCAGCAGTCGACGCTGTAACACATTCGTGTTGGCCATTGCTCACTGTTTATGGACAGCTCAGTGCATTTCGCCGTATGTGAAGCGACCATGAAGCGCGAGGAAGTCCGTCAGTTCCGGTGATAGGACTGTATTTCGATCCCGCACTGCTCCGTTTATTTGTAATATGGGTGGTCTGGCCGTCACTTCCTTTTAGCACGTTAGCACGGCTAACTGATGGCTTATGACCATGGCTGGAGGGCTAGGTGTTGATAGAAGCAACAGTAACTTTATGGCTTATGACCATGACGGAAAGGCTATGCGTTGATAAAACAAACCGTTAGTTACCAACGGTTCTGGGGTCTGGCTCTTCTACCTGTTCTTGGATATTGCGTGTGTATTGTGTAAGCAATATCGATATTGCGTGTGTACGCAATATCGTGAAAGGTCGAATTCGGGCTCATTTTCTCATTATGATGCAATTTTGGCGTGGAAAACATCCTCGCTGCGCAGTTTGCGCATTGCATAGTTTTCATTTGCACACTCCGGTTCTGGTTGCCGCGTCATGCTAAAATGAAGCAACGGTTAGCGCTGATTGCGCTAAGTGACTGGGTGTTCCGGCCTGCGGTGAGCCACCATTCATTCATACATTGTGTGAACTATGGCTGTGTGAAGTTTGGGCCGCTCACCAGCGAACATGGACCGGGCCACACTCACCGTCCGTGGCCGTAACGGTCACGGCTAGTCGGTGCTGGTTTCCAGCAGACTCCCGAGTGAGGCGCCACGCTGCCGGCCGCCCGCGGTCTCCCTGCTCCGATTGCTGCCCTGATTGCGGCCCGATTTCCAGCGGCAGACGAGCCGGATCCAACCCTGACCTGATGAGCCGGTGCTGACGCTGACCTTTTCCCATTTCTCACCCCCTCATCACCGACCCTGACTTTGTTTCCACCAAATTCGTTGTTATACGACCGTCTCATTCTCTCCACCCCCTCCGTCGCGCGCTCCTCGTCATGGCCGTCGAGCGCGTCGTCGCCGCCGGCTCGGCGCGGTGCGACCGACCAACCACCGTCGGGCCGTCGACTGGGCGGCTGACCGGCTGCCCCAGTGGCTGGCAGACCGGCGGCAGTCGGTGGGAGACCGCCGCCGGGGCTGGAGCCGCCGCCTCCGCTGCCGCTCGAACCGTGTCGCTGTTGGCTTTGAAGTGGTGCCGGGGTTGGTGCCCGTGTTGGTGCTGAGAAGTGGTGCCGTGGTGTGTGGAGAGTCAGACTACAGAGAACCGGTGGTGATAAGGACCCCGGTTGTCGCGACTGGTGCAGACTGCAACCATGCTGCGCGTTCAGGAGCCGACATCCGCCGGTAGGTCATGTCTGATACATTGCATATAACGCCCGGTTCCTTCTCACTACTCTGCAGACTCAGTCAGAGACAGAACGAAGACAGAGGCAGTGGACTGCAGAGAGTGTCCGGTATTGACCACTGGGCGTGCCGGGCTTGCTGTCTGTTGGCCTGTTTTCAGCCAGACGCCGCTGGTTTTCGTTTGTGTTACGGTTTACGGTAATGGTGTGACTGCGACCGAGCCGGTGTCCCAGATGGACTGTACGTGGGCTCATCGCGCGGTGCGCGATGGACGGTAACGAGGAGTTATGGGTGCGTGTTGTCCTGGCCTGCTCTGGCCTTAATGTGGCGGACGGCGGTGTCACAAAAAATGAGGGAGAAACGACACTTGAATATCGTTATCCAATGGATCGCTGTTTTCCCCTTTTGGGCAAACCCCTGTCATTGTCTGTTTTGATGCTGCATGCGGGTGAATTTTTCAACACAATTTAGACAAAGGCGCGACAAACGTTCGATACGCACCACGTGCCACATACGGCTCTCCAGTTTCTTTGTTTGCTTCGAATGACTCAAATGACGTCTTTGTGTTCTTTCGTCATGTCGTGCTTGGGGGAACACGGTTGCTATTATGTATCCGATGTTGGAAGTCTGGGCCAATATGCGTCATATGGACAAAAAGTGTCAAATATTGAGCCGCTAAATGAGATTGATAAGATTTATGTCTAAATCTCATTTAGCTCCTCAATATTTTGACACTTTTTTGTCATCTTGTTTTTACAGCCATATCTTCCCATCTCCGCTGTTTCGGTGAACTGGCGGTGGAAGCAATCACTTTTGCCTTTCTATCTAACAGGAATCTTCTTCAAATCCAATCATCATTCCCCCATCCACTTCAATCCCAATCTGTCGTCCCTCCCAAATTGACGATTTGCCCTTTGTCCCCAGGCTGCGGCGTGGGACCGCCGTCTCTGCCCGGCGCCGGGGACGACCCGTACCCGTCTCTGTCCGACTATCACGACTACGAGCCACAGCTGGAGTTCGATGACACAGAGGTGGCGTGCGCGACCAACGCAGGCACAGGTCAGAGTCGCGTCCGCTTCGGAAATCGCCAGCCACACTCGTTTTCATGCATGCTGTGCTGCCTGGCCGAGCTTATGCATTTAAAGTGGATTGATATCAGAATTAGATTCCAATTCACATTTCTGGCTGGCATTTATGAAACGGTTTGTGTCATGTTCGTGTTTTAGTAGGTTTAATTTCCAGAATCGCAATTTGAAATTGCGGGCTGACCCAGAGTTGGAGATGGGACTGAGTCAAGGGCTCATGTGAGACGTCCCATGGTCCAGTTCTGTCCTATGGAAGAGTTCTCTTCCCTTCAATTGTCCAAATTATCTGCGTCAGCCTTAGAGCTGAATATATTCGTCCCATTGACGCTCTTCTCTCCTTTGGGTATATCGGATATCCGAAACTGATCTGTTTCTGATAGAGCTTTATGCGCCCATAACTGTCCATGTTCTCCCGACAGGCTCGCAGCTGGAATAAATTTCTTCTTCTATTCCTCGTCAGACTTGGGGCCCCTGTGACGTTCCCGTGACCACTTGAGAGCCCCTTAGCTGGTAATCTCTCGCCTTTCTAACTGTCCTCCGTCCTCCACCAGACCCGGAGCTGGAGGCCGAGCTGGACCTGGCGCTGGACGGCACCATGTCCGACGGCGCCATCGGCACCATGGACGGCACCATCGAGGAAAACTTCGAGGAGGCGCTCGGACCGCTCTCCCTCGGCCTCGAGCTCGGCGACGACCTCGAGCGGAAGGCGCGCCTCTCCACAGCGGCGGATTTCAGAGATGTGGCGCAGCATGGAATTGTAGACGTGGTGGGCGATGACAGTTATGGGAGGAAGGTGATTGTGGTGTCTGCCTGCCGACTACCCAGCAACAAGGAACTCAACCACGCCAAGCTGCTGAGGTGAGAGACTGGGGGACGGTAGAGAGAGAAAGGGGAAAGAGGGGTGAAAGGATGGTGAATAGAAAGGAATGAGAGTTGCCACGTAAATCTTATTTGAATTGTGGATTAGTGCTGAGAACTGCTTTGGATCATTGTTCGGAGATCTGTTGGAAGCGGTTGGAAGCGCTTTTTTATAACCACCCTGTGTACCGGCATTGTTTTTATGCGACTCCACCCTGCCCCAATCGATGTGTCTTGAGCGGCCCCCGATCGAACGGCACCGTCTGCCGGTCAGTCTCTGTCTGGGTGGAGCCCGCCGAGTTCGATTGGCTGGGTCGGCTCCGGTGTGTCTGATGGGGCCGAAAATTGGGCAGCTGCACCGGTCGATACTCCGCCACTGGCGATGGTCCGCAGCCATGGGATTTGTCGGACCGCCAGCTCGCGCCCTATTGCGCAATACATTAGTTCGAGAAAATGGCAGCGCTGTTCAGACGCCATGAATTGATTTGGCCATCATGCCAGTCTAATTGATTGGAGGTGAGCTATGGCTAGTTTGAGCATAATTATGAATATTATGATGGTAGAAAATGACCTTATGTTCATGATACAATGAAATGATATTAAAATAAGTCCAAAAATATTATGATATATTTCGACTTGCGTCGTCTTCAGAATGTACATTTTCAGAATTGTCGACGAGCAAATTCAAATCCTTTCAAAATAGCGTGCAACATTTTTGTGAGATCTCTGGCTAACAAATTACAGTCAGGTCATACCTATAATAAATTTTAACAGCGTACAATACAATGAATACAATATCACTAAATAATAATTGGATAAATATTGTCAAGCATTTGACAATATTTATCCAATTATTATTCAGTGATATTGTATTCATTGTATTGTACGCTGTTAGAATTTATTATAGGTCTGACTGTAATTTGTTAGCCAGAGATCTCACAAAAATGTTGCACGCTATTTTGAAAGGATTTGAATTTGCTCGTCGACAATTCTGAAAATGTACATTCTGAAGACGACGCAAGTCGAAATATATCATAATATTTTTGGACTTATTTTAATATCATTTCATTGTATCATGAGCATAAGGTCATTTTCTACCATCATAACAGTCTAATTGAATTTACTTATATCTTCAGCGTTGCCACAATGGCTATAGAATGTATGTTGATCTCTGTGGAATCCATCTGTCCACACTGCTGCTTCAATTTGTTCGAAGTTTAACGCTGATGCTGTCTTTCCAGTTACTTGATGTTCACACTGAATCAGTACGTCGAGCAAGACTACAGTCTGGTGTACTTCCACTACGGGTTGAACAGCAAGAACAAGCCGCCGCTGAGCTGGCTATGGCAGGCGTACCGCGCGTTCGACAGGAAGTACAAGAAGAACCTGAAGGCGTTGTATCTGGTGCACCCGACCAACTTCATCCGAGTGGTGTACAATGTGTTCCGGCCAGCCATCAGGTGAGACTGAGACTCGTGGGCGCGCAGAGGCAGCGCGGGAAATGAATGGATCTGAGGTTGGGGTGGTTAGAGAGATAACCGTAGCTTTGGAGGGTTGACGGTTTGTGTCGTATCGGTTTCAGATTCCATGCCAAATTTATGCTTTAATGCATGGTTCTCTGGGCCAGAATTAATGAAGGTCGTAGGATCTAATTGTCACGACCTTCGTGCTCGTTCACGGCTTTGCAGACAGACTTAAAGGGTGATATTTTGCCTCAAGGAGCCAATAACGGTGGGAGCCGCTATTCCAACTGAATTATTTCAGTTTCTTTAGAGGTTACCCTGAAAACCGGCTCCTGAAAATGGTCGACTATGACCCGAATTATTGCCGGATCATTTCCTTGCATTGAAAGTTGAATGAAAGTAAGTGACATAAATAAGTTACCTTCATTTCGACCAGCTTCCAATAATCTAACTTTTTGGAACCTCCATAGGCCGTGACAGCGCCTTCCGCGCAGTCTGGAGCAAATCGATGCGATCTATTTTCGCCCACTCGTTAAATCGCTCTGTCCTGGTTGATTTATAATGGTACATCGTCATGATTTGTGTTGAACATTTCGCATGTATTTCGTAGTACATCCGTCTTCTGACTGCTATGTTATATTACAGCGTGAAGTTCGGGAAGAAGATAATGTACGTGAATTATCTCCACGAGCTGAAGGAATACCTCCCGATGGACCAAATCACTATACCGGAACCCGTGCTAGAGTAAGTTGCGGATATTTTGCTTCAGAAACAGACTTGTAACATCGAATATAGACATCGTGTTTGTATCCACTGTCCATATTGTCGCAAGTGACCGTTTCTGCTTCCTACTCTACATTTCTGCCACACATTACTGCGCACTCGGGCTCTCAGACTCCCTCACGTCTGCCGTGACACACCTGTGTTATCGGTCACTGACTGTGGAGCTCCGCTAATCCCTGGACCAAACATCCCTCAGTCTGATAGCGCGGGTCCCTCACCGACCGATACTTATCGTATGTGGCGGAACAGTGGAACCACGCCTCAGAGACGACCACTTCGGGATTCTTCTGTCTGGGAGGTGGTGTCATGGGAGGTCGTTTTGGGCTGCAGTTTCTAGTAATTAGCACAGCGGTATAAAAATAAATGAAGTTTGTTTTAATTGATACGATAATTCATACCATTCACCACAAAGGCAAATTTTGTGTTAGTATGTATCCCATCAGCAGGGGCTTTCTCCCGTCCCTGATTTAGGGTTTTCTGGAATACGAATGGGCTGTAAGCACCAGGTCAACATATTTAAGATAGTTTCGCTTGCTTATGATCAAGCTGCTCTTACTTTATCAGAATACATTTTACATGATGTATTCACTACACCGGTGCTTGCATTTTTTACATTGTGTTCTCTCCGACCGGCAATGCTTCATCACGCATCCTTTAACGTCCCTTGCTTTCCCAGACACGACCGGACTCTGATGACCAAGCCGTCGCGGCCTGTGGCGACCCCGACCGCCTCGGCGCAGTTCCATGCCCCACTGGAGACGCAGCAGTTTGGCGTCAGTCTGCAGTTCATCAAGGACAATAATGGCGGCGACCCGGTGCCGCCCGTGCTGAGACAGGTCAGAAACGGGCGCGGGGAGAGTGCGTGGACATGCACAGTGCACACGCATACAGTCGTGTGGTGCGCGCACTCGCACTTGCACGCACACTCACACTTCCCGGACATCAAGGAGCACGAAAACACGCACCCACAAAGCCGATGGAAGTTACAGGCAGACGCTGGACACAAACACTTGTGAACTGACCGATACTGAATGATAGGTGCAGTGTGTGATAGATGCTATCGGAAATATTGGACGATCATTGAGAACGCGGGCTGTGAGACTTGAGACTCATTCAGACTAGGACCCTAGGATCGACATCAAGTAGACATGTGTCTAGCTTTCGCAACAGTCGTTGAATATTAGTCTGAACATCAGATTACAATATTCTTGTAAGACAAAAACAAACATAGAGTACTGAGTGCTGACAGACTGGATGGGGATTGCTGATTCCTATTTCCCGATACTTTGGTAGTACTGGGCATTGAACACCGTGCACCCTACACAAAGTCCAGTAGCCACTCCATTTGTGTTAAATTCGTCTGATGTCCAGCTCAGCGTCCGTTGACCTTCACAAAATTGCATTGCACCATACAGGGTTATTTGGTTCGTGGTGATGGTCAAAGTTGATAAAGGTCAGGCCAACAGACTCAGTCTCTTCCGATCATGTGCCAACCTGTCAGACAGTGGCAATCTGGGTCCATGTGCCCTGGCAGTGTTCAAAACTGTTGTACAAGCTCGCCTTGAGCGGCAGACGTACTCTGGAGCGAACTCGATTGCACTTCCTGGGTGCAGGCGATGTCTGGCAAGCGCTCAACTTGTAGTTAATCATGCAGATGGTAGTGAAGCTGCCTCTCGTAGTAATTGTTCTGGGTTACACTAGTTCACGCTGGAAGGAAGTAAAAACGGGTAACAGATTCTGAGTTTTAACATCGGCAAAGACCCTATCGGCAAGTGTTCTACCTTGCTTTCTGCATTGCACTGACAATTTTTCGCCACTCGAACACTCACTTACAAAATACTAGGCCTAGCATGACCGTCCACCTTTGTATACGACAGTGTGCTAAGTTTCTGAGCTTCCTGGCGCTCTGTTCCAGCCATCGGCTACACCTTACCTATCTAGTCTCCCCCTTCTGTACTGCAGTGTGTGGAGTTCCTGAGCCACCCGGACGCCCGGAGTACCTCACCTGACCGTCTACATCCCTGTATTGCAGTGTGTGGAGTTCCTGAGCCACCCAGACGCCCGAAGTGCCTCACCTTACCGTCTACATCCCTGTATTGCAGTGTGTCGAGTTCCTGAGCCACCCGGACGCTCTGGAGACGGAGGGCCTGTTCCGACGCTCGGCCAATGTGCGCCTGGTGCACCAGCTGCAATCGCAGTTCAACCACGGCGAGACGGTGCAGCTCACCGAGCCGCACCTGGCCGCCGTGCTCATCAAGTCCTTCCTCAGGGAGCTCGAGGAGCCGCTCATGACCTTCGACCTGTACGACGAAATCGTCCAGGTGCAAGGTATGTAAGGAGAGGGTTGGACAGCGGGATATATGCATTGGATGGTATATTGGTATAGGTAGGGTTAGTTAACTTGGGTCTACTGTTCGCAGTTTAGTTTTCGAAGAAGACGTCCATTGCCGCCTTACTTTAAACCGAATAGCAATTAAATCGGACCAATTTGATACAATCTGTCTTTTTATGTCTTTGTGATCATTCAATATTACTGCCGATAAATGGCATTCAACGCTGTCACCCATTGATCCGCACTTGGCGCGAACTTTGTATCGTTTTATTGGCATATTGTGCCAGTGTTGATGATATAGCTGTCCGTTTGCAGCGATGCCCAAATCTGAGCGGGGCACCCTCGTCAAGTCTCTGGTGCTGGAGAAGCTTCCGGAAGACAACTACACCGTCCTCAAGTTCATCATCCACTTCCTGGCGAAGGTAGGCCGCGAGTGTCGGTGATCTTTTATCATCCGCGCAACACAAGTTTTGGTGTAAAGTCTGATGTTGAAGCTAATTATGGCACTGCTAACTATGGCTCAGTTCTCACTTTTCTGTTGATGTCACGCATTACTAAGCCGAGCACCGACCGAGTTGTCCAGTTCCGTCACCTCACCCCGCCGTCCCCACAGGTGATGGACCGAAGTGACCTCAACAAGATGACCTCTGCCAACCTAGCGGTCGTATTCGGACCGAACCTGATCTGGCACCAGAACCGGCAGATGTCGCTCTCTGCCATCGGGCCCATCAACACGTTCACCGACTATCTTCTGCAGAACCACCATCAGCTGTTCATCTTGTAGCGCGTCCTCGAGCGGGGGCCGGAGCGGCCACACCAGAAGCTCGCTGGCAGGTGGGCGAGTGGACGAGCGGCCGGTCCGCCTTCCACACCACACACCTGTCTTGTCATCTGACCAAAGAGCAGACTATGCGCGGTCGTTCCCCTACGCTCGCTGTCACTAGCTCTCTGAGGGGATTCCGTGGCACCACGACCCATGACCACCGGTTAGGCGGCTGGAAGAGACTCCCATCAGGGGTAGCGTGCGGTGGTGGCCGGCCTCTATGCAGGAGCACCGCGCGGCGAAGAGGTGTCTACGCGCCGCGGGTCGATGTGAATATACCGCGTTATCATCTACACTGGCGTGCTGGGTCTACGGCGACCGCACGGTGCGTCTAAAGCTCCAAGTTCAACTAGTCCACTGCTCCAAACACACATCAGCACACGCACTAGCTTGAGACGCGGCCGAGCGACCGGCGCGGGCGGCCGGCTTATAGTAGGTGCCGCGTTATACACCTATTCCAATCATGCCGATGACTTAGTATATACAAGTAGCTAAGTGTGAGAGACGTTGGTTGACTCGTCTCGTAGTAATGTTTAGAGGCTTGTGAGCTAGTCGACCACAAATGTCTGGCGTTGCGCGAAAGGAGGACGATACCCTAGCGAGGACAGGGGTCTTGTGGGGGCGTTTCCATAGGGAGAGCTAGGGAGGAACGTAGTCCCCGTCGGCGGGCACAGGACATTCCTCGTGAACCTCCTTTAGTCGGCGTCTGTCTGCCAGTATCCGGCCCAAAACGGTGTAAGTGTGGACCCGGACCACTAGGGAGTTCGAATCTATCCAACCGTGTACGTGCGAGTGTTTTTGGGTCGGAACACGGTTAAAGTCTAGGCTGATGTGGGTGCGGAATGATTTCAGGGGTATGTATGGTGTGGGACCACAAGCTCTTCTAATGAATTGAACTTCTATGCACACATAAACCTTTCCCTTCCCTCTCATCTCACTGGGATTTTTTTTTTAGACCCTCCACGCAACATTATTGTCCCCGGGGACCTTTGCAAACCTGTCACTGCGGGAGCCGGGACCCTGTGGGACCCTAGACCGGACCCCTTATTCGACCCCATACCTCCGGGCTAGTCCGGTCAGGCCCGGCTCTATCTTCCATGTGATATTGCGGTCGGGTGTGCTGGGTGACTGCGGCAGTTGTGTTCGGAGTTACTAGCACCGAGGGTACACCGAAGGGATGCAGTATGTTCGTCGCTAATTGCCGACGAGCTAGGCTAGGGTTCTCTGATGAGACGTTCTTGAGTCGCGCGTGGTTTCGCACACACGAGTTAACCCACCTGTTGGCATTATAGACAGTCCAATCGTTTGTAAGTGGGACGTCTGTGCCGCTGGGTTAGAGGGCTAGGTCTGTGGGGAGTTCTGAATGCACCCGGTTTGCTGCTCCGGTGCGGTTGGGAATTGAGTTCGGGCCCTTTTGCGGGCTGGAGCGACCTCTCGTTCTGTGACCATGTCATGGTGTGTTCCCACCCAGCCGATGCATTTTAGAGATGTGCATTTGTTCCGGGTCTTTGCCGGTATCGCCTTTTCCCTATGTATGCGTGACTTTGTATGTTGTTTTCGCTTGACCGTGTGCCGGGCGGCTTGAAGCTATGCAGTTTGTCTGCACTTGTTATGGAAAACAAAGCACTAGTGAACCACTAGGTAACGTTTTTGAGTCGTCTTTCCAGTGCCATATGGACGCAGATGCCCGCTTTTGCCGCAGACGGTTTCGTATGTGCACGTTGTTTATTTCGCTCGGCAGCCGGCGTGACGTCAGAATATGTGGTCTTGTGACGTCATTTGGCGATAGTGTGACGTCATTGGGCGGCTGGCCGTCCGATCGCGGGCACGGGTCGACGGCCGCTCATCCACCGTGTGCTAATAATACATGTTACCAAATGTCTTACTGTCTGGTGTTGGTAGCGGTGCGAGATTAAAGTCAGGGATGGGTGTCTAAGGCGAGCTGCACAGTGCACACGTCCCATATTTGGTGAAAGTGTCAGGAATTCGAGTGTCACTAGGTCAATGGTTGATGAAGTCGATGAAATGACTTCAGTCGCTAGTTACTCATTCCAGTAATCCTGCGTTCGGCTTCGTTCACTTCCTAGTGAATAGAGCGTTAAACAGTAGTTGCTTTGCGTGCTCTTCATTTCCGTCTCAAACGGAAATAGCTCCGTGATTGGTTTACCATGAATTGATGCAATTTATTAAAACACAGTATGTTTGCGATCCTAGCAGTGCAACACGAATCTCATTTGTCCATCATATTTAGGTATAAGAGCGAAGTAAAAATTTCAAAACCAATACCCACACTTGTTGCAGTCGCAGGGAAGGCAAGATGATACTAACGAAATGATAACTGACAACATACCTATCAGTAATACTCGTAGGTAATTTTTTTGCGATGTTCTCAAATAATATTATTACTCTTGGCATCGAATTTCACATACCTATCGCATCTATAAAGGGATCACTAGTTACACTAGGAAACTTGGCCAGATTTCTGGTCCCGGTTCGGCCACACAATACCGCCAAGCGCACGCCGTGAACTCAGGCATAATCCATACCGACTCACATTGACGCATTCTGGCTCACATTTACTCGGGCTTCACTCAGACTGACTCAGACTCCGCTCAAACTGTTCACTGCGACTCAAAGACGACTCAGGCTGACTCAAAGCCGACTCATCCTGGCACAGTCGACAGAGTTGGTCCGAACCCCATTCACTCGTGGTCCCGATTGGTCCGAACCGGATCTGTGGTCTGATACAGTCTCAGAGCCAGTCTCGCCTGGTCCCGGAGCACAGTCCCGCGTCGCGACAGAATGTATCACAGAACACCGAACTCGGCTCAGTCGCAGAAAGTCACTGCACAGTGCACGGTAAACCACAGTCAACTGGGAACCCTCCAAACGACGTCAGACACTTCAGGCATTTCACTCGTTGCAACACTCTCCCTCTTGCGGGGGCAGGCTTGGTTTTCTGAGAGCTTGTTGCAGTGCGCATTGCAAGTGCTATCCAACAGTCAGTTGCACTTCACGCTATTTTACGATGAAACGAAAGTCATCATGACGTCATGGAAGTGAAGTCCCGCTTGTCCATGTCACAGTCTGAGTATATCCCGGACAGCTCGGGCTAGTGTCCTCGTTTCACAAAGCAAGTGCCTCGCATGCGAGTCCATCAGCTCTGAATCATCGGAAGGCACTTGACCGCAAACTTCATGCGGTGATATTTTGCGGAAGGCATGACATCCGCTTATGCGACATCACGTAATTTATCGTGACCTTGTGGGATCCAGACTGTCCAAGCGTCACTCGTCAGCAAAGGTCGATTAGCTGATTGATGACATCAGCTAAGACCAGTCATGGCTCGTGACATCAGCTCATACCAGTCAGCTGACTGATGACGTCATCACCGACCAGTCAGCTGACTGATGACATCACCACCGACCAGTCAGCTGACTGTTGACGTCATCTCCGGCCCGTCAGCTGAGCAATGCAGCTGCCGTCAGGCTCAGGAGGGCGGCGGCGGTGACGGCGGCAGCGGAGGCAGGTGTCCGCCCGGCGCCGTTGCAGAGGTCACCCTGGCACATGCACAGGTAGACCTTACGGTACTGGCCATACATGGTCAGGTCGCAGCGCTCCTGGAGGTCCGACGGAGGCCGCTGCATGCACATCCGCTCCGTGGCCGTGTCGTAGTCTGAAATAGGCGATAAAAACGTCAATCACTCACTATTACAACTTCCGTACGATCGACGAAAGCCTGCGAGCACAGATCAGACAGACATCACTCACGACCCACAGCTCTACCAACTGAGATAAAAAGGTAACGTAATTGGTGGGCTAAATGCACAACGTTTGAGGCATTGATGCTTTCCACTGTCAGACCACACTGTCCTGACTTCCGGTACCCTGTACAATATCCCTCGGAGCATGATTCTGCTAAAAACAATCACCCATCCCTGGGTCACCGGATTAATCGCCAATCGACCCGACCATCTCATCACGCTTATCTACCTCTCTTCCCAGACGATAGATGTGAGCAATGGCACGTTTGAGCCAGCCAGGCCGTCCCTCCCCTGCTTTCACGCTCCCCTTCCCTTCCCCCTTCCAGTTACGCCTTCTCCCCAGCTCCTCTCCATCACCCTCCACAGCCTGCCTCTCACCATTGACGCCCGTGTCGCCCTCTATGATCTTGCCGCACCAGCCGGAGGCACAGGGCTCGGCCCGCACGCCTCGCACGCCCCCTGCCAGCAGCTGTGTCATGTTGTGAGAGAACGAGTCCTTACAGCCGCCGCGGGAGCCGCGAGACCGACACTGGAAACAGCGCCGCTGGCCCACTCCTGTGGATAGAAGAGGGGATGAGTCAATGAAGACAAGGACAGCGAGACATGGGCCTGGAGGCAAAGAAAGACAATGGGCGGGACCGGGAGGCAATGAGACACATGGCCCGTGGCCGAGGGGTGGTGAGACAACAAACTGAGAGACAGCGAGTCCTGAGACAATGAACGGAGAGACAGAGAGTCATGAGATGGTGAACTGATACAGTGTACAGTGGACGGATTGCGGTGATACAACACACGGAATGGACTGAGACTTCGCACAAACAAGGGGGGTAAGACAACCGTGAGACGTTGGCACAGCGAACAAACTAACAATGGGACAACGGACTGACTGTGATAGACAGCGGACGAAATCGGGTCCTGATAGGCATCCTTCGTCCTTAGACAATGGCCAGGGGATGAGATATCGGATCAATGGGCGAGATGAAAAAGGAGACGAACGGGAGGGGACGAGATTACGGTTGTGTGGCTACTGGCTGACGGGACCACGGCCGAAAGCAGGGTCGGCGAGACAGTAGACGGACGAAGGGGAAATGGGACGGGAAAATAGGGAGTGGAATGTGGATAGAGGGCAGGTGGGATTAATTGACCGACGTAGATGCATCGCATAAGGACGATCGATGGGCATTTATAGACCCCGGAGCACGGACGAGTGATGAATATCACATTTGATGAACAGACACTATCAGTGCCAACTGTTGCTGAAAACCGACCCGCCACATATTAGTACCAAACATATAAGTAATAACCAATAAGGAATGGATACTTTTCTGGTGTTTGAGAAATAGTTTATGTGATTGCGCTGCCACTCATTCTCCATTTCTGACGGCTGACCGTCGTCCTAGTGATGTGCGGGCCTCACAGAGTTTTCCTTAAAAAAAGTAGGCCCTGCCTTGCCTGCTCGTTATGAGCAAGACGATAGCCACCGTCCTATCAACAGGCATCCTTAGAGCCAACTCATGATTATTCTTGATCGCTGCTCCAGCCTCGGTTCGTGGACTGACGGTCACCCCACCCATGCAACCGGTGAGGGTAATTAAAAGTAGCTGCGACCTTCTGGGATGGCCGCTTAATCGGCTGTGTGGCCTCTCCCACCGAGATACCATATCGCAATGGAAAAGTGCGGACTCAAACGGCGCCCCGACCGGCGCGGGATGTGGTCGAATCAGTCCATCGTCTCCTCCATAGCTTCTCATTTTCATGGCCGGGATCTAACATCTAAAAGAAAAGAAACACTAGTGCTGACAAGAGTATACAATGCGGTTTATATTATGTTATCTAAACAGAATCTTATCTTCTTTTTTTTTCTCTCAATTTCATCCGATACATTTCAATCCTTTAAAATTTCTTTACTGATTCCTCTCCCTCCCTCCCTCCCTCCCTCCCTCCCTCTCTCTCTCTCTCTCTCTCTCTCTCTCTCTCTCTCTCTCTCTCTCTCTCTCTCTCTCTCTCTCTCTCTCTCTCTCTCTCTACCTATCTCTCTCTCTCCCCGAATGGGCTCTAGGACGTTGACATAGTTTTGTTTGAAGGCTGGGAAAAGTTTGTGAACATAATGAAATCGAAAGCCTGACTAGCATCGTTCCGTTCAGCCATCCGAACAGTGAGAGTTTTCACCTACTTTTCCGCCGCAGCAACCCGCCCGAGTCGTTTCATCAGAGCCTTTGATGAATTATCAGTTCTCCCCGAACCAGCCCTAACGCTGCGGAAAAAAACACTTGGCTCAGCTTCTCGGGACAAAGGCTTCGCGGCGCAGCGCAGCATTTTATATACGCCCCAGTCGAATGGTCGGCAGCAATCGAAAGCTGAGGCACAAAGGCTGACGGACCGGTTGGTCAGCTGGGACGGGGGTGGCGGCCGCAGCCCCCCTCCCCCTGGTCCGTTAACTCTTCTGGTTCATCCGTTAGTCAGGGCGTGGAGACAGGTGCGGCCAGAATCCAGTCTGAGTCACCTCACCCGGCCGCACCGCCGCCGGCGGCGGCCTCGAAAAGTCCGGAACGACGCAACGCGCACCGTCCGGCGGCGGTGGAAAGTCGGGTGGGTTCACAGCCGATCTCTGAACAGCTGTCTGTTCACCTGAGCTGAGAGGTCCGGACCCGAAGGACAGACCCGTGTCTCGCTCCATTTACCAGCCTCTGCCCGTCGCCCGCTCAAGGACGAAGGTGAAGGTCGAAGCAGAGGAAATACACAGAATGCGACATATGTGCAACAAATTTGGGCAAATTAGAATACTGCAGCTGTCCTAGCTTGAATGAAAAGATATTGCCCAATGCTGTATGTGAATCTCCTGCCAATTCATTGGACCCAGCCACATTTTCTCCCAGATCTTATCGCAACAAGGAATTCTGCGTCCTAGTTATCCCAGAACTGCCCACACCCAGCCATCTGGTTCATCCACTCACCATTCGCAGCCGCCAGCAGGGCCACCAACACCACAACACACAGGATCACACCCGAACACTTCATGATGAAAGCTGTTCACTATCGTCCATATGCTGGCGAGACCACTCAGAACTCTCTCGCGATGGAGGCGGCCATATTGGACGGCAGACGGCGGCGGACTGGAGCGGCACCGCGCGGCTCGCCGCCGACCTCGGGAGAAAGTGGCCGGCCGGTCGGCCTGACGGCCCCGCCGCCAGCACACCGCGCTGGCACGGCCGGGGCCGCCCGCACCGCGCTGATCAGAGCTGATCACTGTCCGCCGTCTCCGGCCCCGGCAGGCGTCTGTCCGCCGTATCCGGCTCCGCCCGGAGATCGTCTGCCTGAATGTCCGCCGTCTGCGGCTCCGCTCAACAACTGTCCGCCGTCTGCTATTTGCATAGGCGTAGGAACTTTCAGCTATTTTTTAGAGTAAAATCTTTATTTTTTATTCAGATACAAAACCAAAGGCAAGAAACGGTTCAGCAAGGTGAGGTGACCACAAAACTACAAAGAATTTTTTCATAGGGGTATCAGGGCTCCCACAAAGTGCAATTGAAGTTTCCCTGCCCCCCCCTCCCCACACTTTTCGTGAGGTTCCTACGCCCATGGCTATTCGCCGTGTGCTAACGACTGTCCACCTTATCCGGCCCCGCCCTACGACCGTCCGACTGAGGATCGTCGGTCCGACCGACTGTCCGCATCCATCTCCGGCTCCGCCCGACGGCTGTGTATCGTCTGCGAGTCCGCCTCACGGTTGTCCGCCACGGCCCCCGGCTCTGGCCAACGACCGTATGCCGTTTGCGAGTCTACCCCACGCTTGTCCGCCCGATTGTCGGTCCATTGCTGTCTGTGGGTCCGCTCGTCGACCATCCGATGACACCTACGAGTTACTGCCCGCATCTCTGAATTCACCACATATTGACCTGTGCCACCCCTGGGCCGTCGCCCGTCGCTGTCCTTAGCTTCATTACTCGTGCTGTCTGCCCTGTTATCCAGCATATCACCTCTGTTACCGGTACCCACTGGCTGTTGTTGAGTGTGGACAATGTGTTGTCCTTTCTGAAATATTTTCCTTAGCTAAATACCTTTTCTTCTGAAAATTAATGAATAATGATGCCCTCGGCATACGATTAGTCGGTATTCCCAAGACTCAGGCTGCGATGAAATACGCTTACGGTCACGCACCCTAAAAGTTATTTTCATCGTTTTGTTAACATTCTGCCTGTTTCCTGGACCAAAGTCTCCATCCTACTCAAGTTTCAATTACTCACCCTCCGCAAGGCTGTGCTTGATCGTTTTCCGCTGAATGCATTCCGTCGCACCGTCAAATGGGTTTTAACATTGGGTGCTCGCTTGCTTGTCTTAAATGCAGTCTCCAATCTCCGTCTTAATGGGATGAGTTCGTTAGAAGAGATCAACTGTTCATTTTGATTGCTGAGACAGTGATCGATTTTATCCGGTAATTTGGTAAGATAAAAGGTGTTTTTAGTTTATATGCCTATAGAATCGTGAATATGATAATGATACTGGAAACTAATGAAAAAAAGATTAACTTCGTCCATATGGATTACGCTGCTTATTGTAGCCGGTTTGCAAAGACTGCGTTTACATTACAATTCCACCTGTCCTATATTGCTTGCCGCTTGGAACGTCAAATGAAAAAAGACCTTGCGGTGATCTTTCAGCCGAATTGTTTGTTAACCAAGACTTTGCTGCACTTATGTTCATGCCTTCAATCGCAATACGTATTTAAAAAAAAAATAACGCTCATACGTAGGTACATAAATGGCGCATGCATGCCTGGGGCTTCTCGTTCGATCTTTCATTCACGACGGCCGATCTTGCCTCAAATGGATACGTAAATATAGGTTCATGTGACGTCAAACTTCATCCGCTTTCTCAGCCATCGACGCAGTTGTTAAGTTTAATAATAAAAATAACCAATAGTACCAAACCAATGCACTTGGTGATCCCTTCGGTAATGGAAAGCGAACTTTTGCGGAATAATCTGAGATTGAAAGAGAGGACTAAAACGCCAAAGTTAATAGTTGAGAGCTCGCTTTCTTCCATGCATTCTATCGGCATATGGCCTTGGGCATGATATTGAAAATCGAGTCTCAATGGAGGGCGTCACTGCACCCCTGTGGTCCGTTGCGACAGCCAGCGAATGACGCCACCTTTGACGGCACCATATGTAGAACATTTCTACAAACATTACTACAACATTTGTACGCAGTACATGAATATTGCATACAGATAAACAGATTTATGCATCTGTTTATCATACAAAACAAAATTTCAGGGAATAAATTGCGCAGAAAAAGCTTTCTCAGATGATCATAGGACACAAATAATTTATAACAAATGTGTTTCATCAACTTTTCTAAAATAGCTTCCGCCGATAGCCGAGCATTGCTGCCGCCGTATTGTATAAATTACTATGTAAGACCATTCATTACCCCGCTTGTCCTGTGTGACTGGGTCGAGTCTGCCCAGCTTCTTGCTTAGCGTTATTTTGCTGTACGACAGCATTATGTCAATGCGAATTGATTCCCTAAGGTCGAGTGCAATACAACTACTCGTAACTAGGCTGCTCTGCAAAGGAAACTGGCCATCCGGTTCATTTATGGTCAAACCAGTAGCCGTTCATTTTCTTATATGTAGAACGGATAGACCAATAGAACGGCTTAACCCGCGACCGCCGGGGGGGGGGGGGGGTACGGTTCCGACCCCCTCCCCTCCGTTTTTCTTGAATAACTCAAGAACCGCTTACGCTATCAACTTGAAACTTGGCATACCTTCTCCCCTATCGATTCGACGTCTACTGTGTAATTTTTAAGAAAAAAATTCCAAAAAAAATTTGAGATATAGCGATTTTAGTGATGTAACTACATGGCGTTTTTAGTCAAAAAGTGGTAAATGTTTAACCTTCGCCCCAGTGGGGGGGGGGGGGGGCATATGTTACCACCCTGTCGCGTTTTTCGCCTGTGAATAAAAAACCGCGGCGCTACGCGCCGCGCCGCTTGGGGTAGCTTTTGGTACATCAATTTTGGACAATGTGTGAAATTTTTGACCCCAGGTCATGTCAGGTCAGGTCACCAGGTCAAGTTAACTGACCAAGCCTTAAAAAAAGTTTGCAATCATGTCCAGCCTGCAGTGTTTGTCAGAAAGGTTTTAAACTTGGTGGATTGCATGCTGTTATGGGAGCCTACAATTTGTATATCTCGGATTTTTTATATCCGTGACCTAAGGTCAGGTCAGTGGCATGACCTTTCCATTACAAGTCAATGGAGAAAAATGAAAATGCCTCTAGATCTGTGTGTACGTATAGGAACAGTCCAAATATTTCAGAATCACAATGATTTAGTCCACTCGTGATGACCAAGGTGTCATTTTTGCTGATAGCCTCTAGAAAGGTCATCCGAGGTCATTTGAGGCTACAAACAGTTTTTTGCCAATAACTCGCGATTGGAAAGAGATAGAACGCTGGGGATGGTCTCATTGTGTTTGTCTTGTTGAGACGCATCGACTGATATGCAACATGACCTTTTCCGGTCAGGTCATGACCTTGACCTGAGGTCAAATTTTTAAGATGACCTTTCAAGGTCAAATTATAGTTCATTCGACGCGTCTCGGTGAGGGGAACACGATTCTGGCAATAGAAATGTCGTGGCTTTTTGTAGTCGAAAGTTATGGTCGAAAAACACTTTTCGTAAAAACAGCTATTTTTGGAGTTTTTGCCCTCTGGAGGCTAAACCGTTGACCTGAGGACAATATTGATTATGACCTTTTCAAAAGAAGAGTTCAAAAGCTATCGATTGTTTTTCCATGCGTTTTTCTAGCGACCATAGTTCCTGAGATAACGGCATGTTTTCTGAAGAATATAATGACAATTGGCAAATTTTGACCTTTGATGACCTCTGGTGACCCCAATATTGCTCTAAGGTGAAAAATGACCGAAATACTTTCAAACGTACGTATTGAGATCTATCGACTGCTTTTTACCGCGTCTTTCTAGCCCTCTTAGTTTTTGAGTTAGAGGTGGGTGGTAACATATGCCCCCCCTCACTAGGGCGAAGTTGGCCGAGACCGCCACTGGGGCGCGGGTTAAAAAATCGCCAAAAATCAGGATTTAAAGCAAATTGCAAATTTAGGACACGAAAAGACGCAGCTCAACGAGTTCTTTAAAATGGCTATCTCGGATTTTCCATAAAATGCGTTTTTCACCCCTAAAAATTTAAAAAACTATATTTTTTGGAAAACAGCTAATAAAATCCAAAATTTTGAGAATTTCCAAAAAAACGGAATATATGTTATAGAGCTCTATTAGAATATCAAACATCCCAAATTTCAACTTTCTATCTTGATTTTTGACCCCCAAATTGTAAAAAATAGCTCCAACATGCATAGGGCATGGTGACGTCATAAGCATTTTCGTGAATTAGAGGCACTTCTGAACATCGCATGTGAAAACAAATGGCACCGCTAGATTCCTGGGACAAAGCTCGTCTAGAAAAGTGCATTTTATGTCAAAAATAAAAAGTTGAAAAATTGACCTTTTTCTTAGCCCTCGTTTAGTTATGTATGGTATAAACGATTTTTATGCTTTCAATGCACACTTATCACAAGCACAGTGACTTAGGGGCACATATAACCATTACTATCGGATTCGGCGTGAAAAATAAGCCATAAAACATGTGTCGCACGCCCATGTAGCAGAAAGTGAAAACCGTGACCTTTCGTGACCTGACCTGACCTTGACCCGTACTTAGTATGACCCCTACACGAACATGGTACCTTCACTAGGTCTTTGAGGTCATTTTTGGTGAGTTTCGAGCAGCAGCTATCGATTCCGCTGTCCGTAAGCCTAATCATGCAAAACCCCAGAATTTGACCTTTGACCTGACCTTGACCCGAAAGTTGACCTCAATCTTAAAATCTTAAGAGTGCTTTGGGAAGGTCTCGTAGAGACCTTTCGAACGCCGCCTCGCGGGGCTCGATGCGACCATTGGTTCTTGAGATAACAGGGGGGGGGTCGGATCCGACCCCCCCCCCCAGGCTGTCGTGGGTACGGAAATAGCACAGGCGGTGCCGGGTTAAGGTGCAATGGAATCGTATTACGTAGCCCACAGTCCATATATATTTATGCAAGAGCCAAGACTTAATTTGGTGTCTGGACAAACAAAGCTAGAACAAGTGATGTTAGATATAAATAAGATTATAAACAAAAATAGATTAAAAAATAAACGGATAAGTAAAGGCAACTGAACATATAGGCTTTAATTGGAATTTGTATTCGCCTCAAATACGCTTAATTCTGCACGTCTAATTTTA